ATTGCTTGTATGATAAGTAACAAAACCAATCATGTTTAGTATAAAATAAAGACACAATGCAAAGCAATTACCTTCTCTTTGTAAAATACCCCTATTCCTATTTAGAGGGTTGAGGCAAGAAACGGCTCGATGCATAGAGAATCATCACAGAATTCCTCAAGCCATTTTCTCCTCTGCTTGCCGCTCTGCTATCTTCTCTCTATAAAATAGGTTTACAACATGAGAAATTATTTTTACACATTATTTCTTGTTTTGGACACTTTTATTTTCTTGATTTTCTTTCGCTTTATTTGATCTAAGGACTGACACACCCAGATCAAAAATTGGGGATTGCTGGCCGTCACGTGAGGGTGACGTAGCCAAGTGCACAATGCGGAAGCAAAAGAGTGAAAAATAAAGTCAACGAGATAATTTACAATAAAAAGATCAGTGAGTGATAGTGACAAACATGGAAGGAGAAATGTACAGTAGAAATTCAAGTATCCTAGGTGCAGTCCAGAACAAACAAACTCTACACAAGATAACTAGAAAATCCTACATGGAGGGTGCTTTGTCAGAACTGCCTCGATGCCTCTTTCGTCACCCACGTCCTCACTACCTAAAACCTGGACGGGGGCAAAACAGAAAACGTGAGTGGGCAAAAACAAAGTTGTTTTTCAAACCATTTCAATATAAAATAATAACCCCTCTCTGTAAAACCCATATACTTTCCAGAAAAGATTATACGTACTTGTATAACAAATCATGCTAAAAACGATAAAACTTAAATATGCCATGCTAGAAATATGCCATGTCAGAATATCCAAACAATTAGTATAAGCATCACGCAGGTGAGATAAAACAAATCATAATATGCCAGTAATATCAGTACGTCAGCCGAAGTCACCTAAAGTGACCTGTACGGCTGAATCTATAGCTCCTCAACCACTATCCTGCACACGAGTCGGAACCACCTATAGTGGTTTGTACGAAAGGCTGGTGTATCTAATTACGCTCAGTGCTACGATCACGTAAAGGCTGTGCGATATATCGCAAGTCACCTACGAGTCGGAATCAACTAAAGTGGTCTGTACGACAGGCTGGCACCTACCTTGGATCCAAGGTGAGCGTACGGTACGGGAGGTGAACGATCACGTGAAGGCTAGGCCCTACTCTGGCGGAGCACCATCACCGAGGTGCAGGAATGTAACCTATAACTCAATCTCATCAACACCATATCTATCACTAACAATATACTCACCTAACTTACCTGAGCGTCCGTGGCACCAAAGCATAACCAACACAATCACAATAATATTAATATCGACGATATTCGACATGGCATTTCAATTATAAAACCATTAAAGCGTAATTTCTGGAAAGATACCAATCATAATATATATATATATACACAAAAAAACAAAAGCCCACTCACTGATACGTAAAAGGGTCGTAAGCCCCGAACCTCGCGTGGTTGCGCTCGTCCTCCAGATAGTCCTCACCTATATGCGAAACAACTATAAAACCATCAATTTAACGCACATAACCAATCTTAGGTAATAACTTCTCATACATTGCTCAATTAGGGTGTTTGAATATATCAATGTGATATACTCAACCTCACGAACACCCCCATATTTTTAAAATAATTTTCCGACCTCCCACGCGCTGGCACGTGCCTAGCACTCGTGTGGAAACCCTAACGCCGTTAAGGAATATTCCGTTAAAACCCTAACAAAAGTTAACGGCCGTTACCTGACGCTGTTAGAATATTCCGTTAACTCTGACGGAATATTCGCCTCCTTCTCCGGTGAGCCTCGCCGGTCGCAGCCGTCTGTTGCCGTCTGCAACTCGAATTTTCGCCGGTTTCTGGAAAAACTTCAAACCTTAATATCTTCTTCATTTCTCAACCAAATTCCATGAAATTTGCACCAAAATAAAGCTTACAACGAGTAGAACAAAACCTTACCACTTTGGAGACCTAAAACCAACGGAATCTCGTCGGAAGAACCTCGATAATCCGGCCAAACCTGCAACTCGATGAACTCGAGCTTCCCGACGTCCAAAACACTTCAAAATTACTCCCCAAGCTTCGTGAAGACATCCTAAAGCTCCCTATAACCTTAGAAACTTCTAAAAACCACACAATCACGTGTGCATGAACAATGCACCAAATCTGGGTTCCTTGGTTCTCGGGTTTTCGAGGGTTTCAAGTCCAACCAACACCACCAGTCGACTCCTGAGCTCGAAAGGAGTCCAAAAACACCAACAATAAACACGATCCGTGCCAGAAATGGTTGGATGGAAGTTGTCCGTACGATGAGGAAGAAAATGGAAGAAGTCCGAGAGAGAGAAGAGAGAGGGAGTCACGGGAAAGATGGGTGTGTGTGAGTGTGTGGTCCAAATGAGTTCACAACCAAAAAGAACAAAACAAACCAAACACCCTACAACACTAATTAAGGTCTAGGGGTAAAATCGTCTTTTCACACTAACGTTACAAATAATTCAGAACAGGCTGTCACAACAAGGACTATTTATATTCCCTTAGTTCTCATTTGTTTTATTCAATCGAAAATTTATAAACAAAAGTGCAATAGGAGAAAAATAGAAGTGAGAATGCAGTATAAATACTACGGGAGATGATAATCATCATGCTTCTAAGTTGGCATGACCAAAGAAAGAAATTATCTTTAATTCTTCTGCGAGCTTGCCTGATTCATTTTCCAGCTTCAATATATAGGCTCTGTTGGCCATCTATATGTATATATAATATATCTATATACATCTGTAAAAGGTTTACGGTTCGCAAACTCTTATTCTTTTGTGGTTTGCAAACTCTTTATCTAATTGTAAACTATAAGGGTGGTGCTATCCACACACTACTTTTTATCTCTTACACATTCTCTGGTACTTTCTGTCATTTGATCATTTTCAATTCATTTGATCTAACACGCCGAAAATTGAAATGTCTGTGTGAAAGGTTAAAAATGGTGTGTGAATGGCTGTATTGCACCACCCTACTTAATTTGCTAGTATGCACTGCACACCACTTTATGTATGTTACACGGACAATCTTGTATATTCTTTCAATTGCAAACTGAAAGTGAGAAGTAACGAAACATGGCTGAAACTTCAAAATTTGTCACCTCTTTGTATCTTTGTTATGGCTGTACTCTTTTGCAAATACTAATTTATACATCATGTCATGTGTCGTCTAGGTTTCTTCTATAAGTACGCTTCTTGGACAAGAAAAAGTAATTGAAAGTGCTTTCTGAAAACGCTCATATAAACTAAAAGCACTTTTAAGTTTTTTTACCAAACATATATTTAGAACTGTTTGTAGTCAAATATAGATGGGGGAAATGGAGTAAGTGCTAGCTAACAACAGCACATAATTAGGTGCATAACTTTAATACAGAGATGAAGCCGACATATGCTGATATGCCTCAGCCTCATATCTACATCAATCATAATAAATGTGAACGACACCATAGGAGATAGGACCCAACATTTGAACTAAGGTGCTGAACTGAAACTACATACTTTCTTCAGCAAGGATTATGATAAGTTTTTGGATAATGTAAATCTCCACTCGTAATGCAAACATTGAATTTAAAACCATAACTTAGGAAGGCGCACCTTAACCGCATCGATCCTTTGTTATGAATCTTTTCTATGACGATGGTGGTGGTGGCTGTGGTGATGTCGGTGGTGTTGATGGCAGTGGCAGTGAGGATGGTGGTGGTGGCGATGCAAATGATGGTGAAGGTGGAGGTGGCGGTGGTGGGGCTAATGAATCTGATGGAGACGGCAGCCGTGGCAACATTGGTGGCTGCGTCTGCGGAGGAGGAGGAGGAGATGGTAAGACATAACGGAAATGGTTACGACGATTGAATAGAGGCGGCGGCGGCGGAGATCGACTAGGAATGCGATAGGGTAATACAGAAGAAGCTGCTTCAGAATCAGGAGCCGCATTCATCAACACTAATAAACTCATCAACAACAAAAAATATGAAACACCCATTTGAACTAAGCTTTGCTGAAATACAAAGATATTTTCCATGCCAAGTAGAGAAGCCAACTCACACTTCTTATAACCAAAGGACCACTCATCAAACCTATGGCTAGAAAGCCCTATCTAACTGGAGCAACTTACATGGTACGGGACACCTTCCCAAGTTATGGAAGTCCTCCTTATTAACTGATCGATTAGACAACAATAATTTCCACACAAAACTATAAATGTATTTCTGTAAAACTTGCACAATGCCATACCCAAATGCAATTTTTTTGTTAAATTTTCCACCAATTTCAGAACTTTATCACAATTGAACTCACTAAACTACATTTATAGTTTTTAAAAATGATGAACGCAGCTAAATTACTTAGTACTTGTTTCAAAAGCAAAAAAAATTGATCTAAGAAGGATACCAAACAACCCCGTACTTATCTCACCACCCTGTAAACTAACATCAAGCTTTGCTGCGAGCAATGCGCGATATTTGCCACAGTGTTCCACGTTCCAAGAATAAATGAAAAGTCTTCATGGCTCCATCACTCTCACCCAGCGCTGCAGCAAAAATGCAAACATCATTGACAAAGTCTTCAGGTCTGGCTATTCAAAATGGTTATTATTAACCTCCAGCAATCGACATCAGTATATCAAGTGTTTCAACATCGGCAAAGTTGTAGAATCGAAAAAAATGGCATCACAGGCGCCAAATATTACCATGTTTAATGCATCCTGACCATCATTATTAGACATAAAATCGGATCCAAATTAGGTAACTAGAGCGAGACTATGCTTAATAAACCCACATCTAACAAATATCAATTAAAATGGCCTTTTTTTCCTCTCAGGAGCCTTTTGTTCTTGAAACCAACAAGTTTTTGGGTCAGCGATTCTCACCTGTGTTTACATTACTCAAGCCCAAAGTCTCACCTCCGCTTTGTGTGCTCCCCTCTAAGTTCTGCGTTGCCCTACCGTTGCATTGTTTTATAAACTAAGTAAGAACAATCTGTTACAGTTTCATTCCATGTTCAGTCCACAACCAGAAATTCCATGTAGTCTCGTAGTAATGCCTTTGATTAAAACGACCCAACCTCAAATCAAATACTACATCCAACTACACAAAAAACAGAACCATATCTACAGATAAATCTATCTTTTTTAACTGCCGAAAGCAGGGGAAGAGAATGGCATCGAACAGAATACATATTTGCGCTTTACAAGAAATTGAATTAAGATTAAAAATATGTTAGTAATGCAAAGGGAAGAAAGAATAACCAGCTCGCTGTAGAGTGTCAAGGGACACTCGTGATGCAGTAGAACAGCAAAATAGCACACGAGGTTGTAGACACCTTGGTAGCCACGCATCTCAAATGGAACTAACAGTTTCTGCAATAATCGAAGAAATAAAAGCTTAATCATATATGATATGAACCACTCAAAATCACAGAAATGCCAGAAATGGAGCAGTGCGAAAATAACACACACCTGTGGCTGCTCACAAAGCCAACACATATCAGTTTGTGGTTCCAGCCTCACCTGCATATGAAATAAATCGGTCAGAGCTTAATCAACACGGCCTTGGAACAATCATCACCTTGCTATATAATGAACTAAAAGGTCATCAGTAAAACAGTAGTCCACCCCTTCAGGTACCAACTCCCAGGACACAAGTTCTTCACGTCTAACACATCCAGCCACTTCGACAAACCCTATTTCAAAGATGAAACCGTAATTTGTCAAATTTGTGTTGTGTGCACGTGTGATGTCTAGACCGCCTAAACGAGGAATAAAAACAAAATGCAACAGTTTCTTTCTCCAAATTTGAACGAAGATTGATAAAAAAGAGCATTCCACTGGAGATAAATCCACAAGGAAGATACTCTTGATGTATTTATGCAGACACACACACACACACACTTATGAAACGAGGAACATCCATGAAACAAAGTACGAAACTTAGAATACCTAAAAGTCTGGAAACTCAGTGATTCCATCAACTGCATAAATTTCTCTGTAAAATTCCTCCATTGCCTTGATTGTAGCTTCATCAGGAACCTTACCAGCGGCATGAATCCAGAGACGGCCTTTGAAAGACAAATTCAAGACTTCACAAAGACGCTCATCTCCGTCAACAAGAATCCAATAACAACTATCACAACAAAACAATATCTAAATTGAAGAAAAAAGCAACAACACTTGACGAATCAAATTTTTTCGAAGAAATTAAACTCTTGTAAATTAAAAAAAAAATTGCTTCTCTAAAAAATTAAGATCAAAACTTTGCAGCTTACTTAAAGTTTTTCCTCCCACTTAACGAACTAGCTAGCAATAGCATATAACAGACAACATTCTCAAAAGTTCAAAACTTCACTCCCAAACATTAAAAAAAAAAAAAAGAAAAAGACACGAGGGTATCAGAATTTTGAATTGAATTCGGAGATTTTAAGGTAAATTCCTAACACTCCCACTTTACGAACTAGCTAGCAAATAACATACCACATTCTCCAAAGCTCAAAACTTTACACACCAACATCAAAAAACATAAGATTAAACCAGAAGGGTATCAGAATTTTGAACTGAATTCTAAGAATTTAAGGTTGAAACCTCGGATAGGAGAAGGCCAGGACCTGCCCTCGACGCGCTTGATACCATAAACCAGCAAAGAAGCCCATGGTTGGTGCATAGTCAGACATGGGTTTCTGTAATTCCCAGAAGAAGAATGTCGTCCTCCTCTTCTCATCTTGAGATTCTTCAGATGCGATTTCGGCCGTCTGATCTGATTGTCGCGCCGTTTTTTTCAGTTGACTGGAAAAAGGTTCTGCATTGATGAGTTTTATCCTATGTCTTAATGTTTTCTTACTTTTAATAGGAACCTTTTTGTTACCGACCAGACGGGGGTAACATTAATTGAAAAATCACTTTTTGTACTCCAGAATAGAGACAAAGATTGCTAACTGTTACATAGGAAAATAAGAAATCTGTGATTTAGATGATTAAAAATCTTGGTCAAATCTTGCTTACAGTTTGAACTATAGTTAGAGTAGAAGTTTTTATTTTTCATTTTCTTTGTTTTACCTTCAAATTACGGTTAATTAGTCGGATTTAACTTTTAGATTCACCAGATGAGAAACTCAATTTTGTATCGATATTGGGTTGTCGGATAAGCCTTACACGCAACGGACCAAACACAAACAAAAAAAAAAAAATGAAAATGACCTTTGTATTCAAAGTCAAGATTATGTCTTAGGTTGTGTTCTCAACATTCAAGAAATCACCTTATAAAATTTTCGTTCATGAATAAATATCAAAGATACACTTTTTGAAGTCGCATAATTATTATTTCTATTTTCTACTGAAAGTGATTTGAACTTTAGTGTTTTGGAGGGAGGAGAACCCTTAAACAATTTCAATCATCCCCCTCTCACTTAAAAACATAACTATATACACTAAAATGAATGGTTATCTTGATTTTTTTAATAATTCTTCAATAATCTGATACTACTGAGTGGTTTGAAAAATGAGCAATAAAAGTAACTTTAAGAAAACTAAATTGTGAAGATTATTTAAAAAGTCAGACTACTTAGTAAGTTGAACTAAAGAAGACAAACCCTTACGTACCTAAAAGCGATTAAACTTTTTTGTACTCGAGAGTAGAGACAAAGATTGCTAACTGTTACATAGGAAAATAAGAAATCTGTGATTTAAATGATTAAAAATCTTGGTCAAATCATGCTTACAGTTCGAACTATAGTCATAGTAGAAGTTTTTATTTTTCATTTTCTTTGTTTTACCTTCAAATTACGGTTAATTAGTCGAATTTAACTTTTAGATTCACCAGATGAGAAACTCAATTTTGTATTGATGTTGGGTTGCCAGATAAGCCTTAAAAACACAAACACACGAAACGGACCAAACACAAACAAAAAAAAAAATAAAAAAAGAAAAAAAGAAAATGACATTTGTATTCAAAGTCAAGATTATGTCTTAGGTTGTGTCCTCAACATTCAAGAAATCACCTTATAAAGTTTCCGTTCATGAATAAATATCAAAGATACACTTTTTTGAAGTCGCATAATTATTATTTCTATTTTCTACTGAAAGTGATTTGAACTTTAGTGTTTTGGAGGGAGGAGAACCCTTAAACAATTTCAATCATCCCCCTCTCACTTAAAAACATAACTATATACACTAAAATGAATGGTTATCTTGATTTTTTAATAATTCTTCAATAATCTGATACTACTGAGTAGTTTGAAAAATGAGCAGTAAAAGTAACTTTAAGAAAACTAAACTGTGAAGATTGTTTAAAAAGTCAGACTACTTAGTAAATTGAACTAAAGAAGACAAAACCTTACGTACCTAAAAGCGATTAAACTTTTTTGTACTCGAGAGTAGAGACAAAGATTGCTAACTGTTACATAGGAAAATAAGAAATATGTGATTTAAATGATTAAAAATTTTGGTCAAATCTTGCTTACAGTTCGAACTATAGTCAGGGTAGAAGTTTTTATTTTTCATTTTCTTTGTTTTACCTTCAAATTACGGTTAATTAGTCGGATTTAACTTTTAGATTCACCAGATGAGAAACTCAGTTTTGTATTGATGTTGGGTTGCCGGATAAGCCTTAAAAACACAAACACATGCAACGGACCAAACACAAACAAAAAAAATAAGAAAATGACATTTGTATTCAAAGTCAAGATTATGTCTTCGGTTGTGTTCTCAACATTCAAGAAATCACCTTATAAAGTTTCCGTTCATGAATAAATATCAAAGATACACTTTTTGAAGTCGCATAATTATTATTTCTATTTTCTACTGAAAGTGATTTGAACTTTAGTGTTTTGGAGGGAGGAGAACCCTTAAACAATTTCAATCATCCCCCTCTCACTTAAAAACATAACTATATACACTAAAATGAATGGTTATCTTGATTTTTTAATAATTCTTCAATAATCTAATACTACTGAGTAGTTTGAAAAATGAGCAGTAAAAATAACTTTAAGAAAACTAAATTGTGAAGTTTGTTTAAAAAGTCTTACGTACCTAAAAGCGATTAAACTTAAGTTCTAAAGAATTATATTTTTTACCAAAAAAATGGAGAGCATTTCATTTCCATCAAATTTGTGTACCATCGAACTCCCACCAAACACTGAAAACAACACTTTCATCTTGTAGCAGAAATCAAAACCCAAAAACAAGAACAAGAACCTTAAATTGTTCACCCTTCAAGCAGTTGACAAAAGAATAAATATTATTTTGTGCAAGAATTTCGAATTTAAAGTATTCTCTCTCTCTCTCTCTCTCTCTCTGAAATCACACAAGAAAGTCACAAACACCACTCTGTCCAACACTGAGACGACATCCCTTTCACAGAAAACGACAGCCAGAAGAACCCAACCCATCGAATCCCCCCCACCCAAAAGTCCCACTCTTTTCTTGCCCTCCCTCTCTTCTTCTTCTTCTTCCTCTCTTCAAGTTTCAGTCTTCCAGTTTTCAATCGGACCGTTGACTTTCTAGACGGCAACCAACTCCTGGGAAATGGACCAATCGGTTCTGGATGACATAATCAACCGACTCCTCGAAGTCCGAGGCCGACCCGGGAAGCAGGTCCAGCTGTCGGAGTCGGAGATCCGGCAGCTTTGTTTGGTCTCTAAAGAAATCTTCTTGCAGCAGCCTAATTTGTTAGAGCTCGAAGCACCCATCAAGATTTGTGGTACTTTTCTTTGCAAAACAACCTTAATTTTTCCGTTTAGTTTTGAATTTTCGTGATGGGTTTTGTCCTGTGGCTTTGAATTAGTTGGAATTTATTGGAAAGTTCTGTTCTTTGATTTGATTAGGTTGTGTGTACTCATTATTTGGGGAAATTTTAGTTGTTTTTGTTTCTGACCAATGTTTGTTTTTGTGGAATAATCCGTGAAAATCGGTATGTTGTATGGCAAAACATTCATTGACTACACAAATTATGGAAGTGTTTCGTTTAGGATTGGGTCAGTCGAACATTTTGTTCTTTGATAACCGCGAAGGTTGTCGTGTAGTTTGGCATTGTATAGTGAGTATAGTTTGGTTACTGAATTCGGGCATGAATAGCTTGATTGGAACAATTTCAGATGATCCGGTAATGGCGCGTTTACAATTTGCTAAACCTTTTAACATTTCAAGAATTGGGAATGTCCGGGCGTGTTAATTGTTTGTAGAATTGCAACATCCACAACAAAACCTTATCCCACCAAGTGAGGTCGGCTGAATGAATCATAGAACGCCACTGCGCTCGCCTGTATGAATCCTAGAATTGTATTTGTACAAAATATCGTATCATAGACGTTCAAGCAGTGAGCTTTACTGCAGTGTCTGCTTTATACTCATGACAAGTAATGTAACACTTATGTTCTTGTGCAAATGCAAAGAAGATTAGATTTGTAATCATTGTGTGTGGGCGTGTTTATATGTTTTGTGCACGAGAGCTAAGTGGGCTTTATTTTCTAAACCCATGTAGTATTTTGCCTGTAAGTATGCTAAAGTTTGGATTTGTTTTTAGATGAAAGGTGACCTTCTTTCTTTATGATATTGGAGGGGTGTTGCATATAATTATGATACCTGCACACAAGGTCGATAACATGAAACATGGAGGGTTGTAAATCAATCCTTCTTACAGAAGTTTTGAGTTTCATATGTATAGTCAGTTACTCTTATTTTCTTATTCTTCTTTCATCGCTCGTTCAAAGTTTGGTATTGACCAAAAGAAAGAACGAAGTAACAACTGATGATAAAGGAACTTATTTTGTAAAATGTTAGTTGGTAATTCTAGTTTTGTAGACTACGTAAATTATGGAGATATGTGATCTTTTCTGAATTATTTTGAGGGATGTGACATGCGGGCATCGTGGCATTGCAAATTAATTTGTTGGGGGATGATGGGAAGCTAAGGTTTATGGGTACTCTGAATAATAATAAAAAATTAATATTGTAACTGGAAAACCGAATCTAAATAATTGCTTAGGGGAATGTTATGGGTGATTATATTCTAGCAATGAGGTACATCACTTCTTTGTGAAAGCTCACGTTTTGTGCTCATTTCACCATTTTGTGTCTTGGAAATTTGAACAGATCAAATAGTGTAGAAAATTTCAGCATGATTGCTTAGTTCAGATGCTTTTGCTGATATTCTTTTCTTGCCTACTTTTTCATATGACTTTAGTTTTCAACGATTTAATCTCATGAATTCTTAAAAGTGAACTGCTTATCGTTTGCAGGTGATATACATGGTCAGTACTCGGATCTTATAAGGCTTTTCGAGTACGGTGGACTACCTCCTAATGCCAATTACTTGTTCTTGGGGGATTATGTGGATCGGGGAAAGCAAAGTTTAGAAACAATATGTCTTCTCCTTGCATATAAAATAAAATATCCTGAGAATTTTTTCCTCTTGAGGGGAAACCATGAATGTGCATCTATAAACCGTATATACGGATTTTATGATGAGTGTAAGAGAAGATTCAATGTGAGGTTATGGAAGACATTCACAGAGTGTTTTAACTGCCTTCCAGTGGCAGCTCTGATTGATGAAAAGATTCTCTGCATGCATGGCGGTCTTTCTCCCGACCTGCATAATTTAGATCAAATCAGAAATTTACAGAGGCCAACAGATGTACCTGACACAGGTTTACTTTGTGACCTTCTCTGGTCTGATCCCAGTAAAGATGTTCAAGGTTGGGGAGGGAACGAGCGGGGAGTTTCGTT